CTACTATCAGATTATTAAATGATATCAATATTAATTTATATATAATATATTTTTTAAATTTAACTAATTTTTAATTTGCAAATTTAACTAGTTTTTTTAACAGGTTAAGTAGCTTTTTGTAAGAGTGATTAATCTCAATAAATTTCTAATATATTTATTTTTTTTTTAATTTGTTTTAATAATAAAAGTAGCAATTTTAAAAGTCATACCATTTTCTAGAAATTTTATTTCAATTTTTTTTTGATAAAATGAATTGTAAAACTTGTATTATATTGTACAAATAATATCGTTAGTATAAAATGCTTTTAAATTTGTAACACCATTTTCCTTTTATATACACTTTTTCACTAGAAATGGATAATGATCCTAATCTAAAAAAAATTTCTTGATTCAAATAGTTAAACTTGTAACACAAAAATGAAAGTGCTGAGGTAAATCAATTAGGTAAAATCCTTCCTATGCATTCTTGGGTTTAAATCTGGTAGTATGAAAAAATGGAACCAGACTTATGGCTTCTTTTGGTATAAACCTTTGATCTGAATTTTACGACTTTTTTTGGTCAGTATTGGTTGATCATTCAAGTTGACGGTAGGTCAACAGATCGAAAAGACTGCTAAGCAATGATGCACTAGCAAGCAACGATCACATAGGTGATTCTGGTTCTAACAAGAGAATCTGGTATATGCAAGGGGGAAGATAAGTATAAATTTATATGAAGTTACTAATTTAGGAGCTTATGGTGCAAATACCGATACTAATATATCCAAATTTAACAGAGAGCGTATAACAATATCATACGGATATAAAATGGAAGAGTGGCAGAGTGGTATGACAGCAGCCCTTTCAAGAGGCAAATCAATTTTGCACCCTGCCCTACCCTCCCTCACATAAAATCCTGCCATTTTGTGGCAGCTTAAATATCTCTTTACAGCCGGCCTGCGTTATACAGGTGGGAAATCTCTGGCTAAGATCACATAACTACAAAGCTTCTGGTTAACAGCCGGCCTGCACTTGTGTGGGTGGGAAACCACCGGCTATGCATCAAACACACTGATGTATGCTATATATCTCTGTCAACTATACATCAATTGCACTAATGTATACTATATATCTCTTTCAATTATACATCAAAAAGCACTGATGTATGCTATATATCTCTTCAACTATATATCAAACGCACTGATGTATACTATAACTCTCTAATAAAGTTTGAATATCCAGTGCTATTAGTGCTGGAATGCATCCAACAATTATATCATATGCGTGCAGTTCTTTTCAACACATGAACGTATAAATACCGTCTAAGCTCTAAATATGAATGAAAAGAATCTCATAATTGAATATTAAGGAAAGAAGGTATTTACTTTATTCTTTAAATATCCATAGGCTTATCAGTAATACATTTCTACATTTAAGGTTGTATATTATCAAACCTGTTGTTTTCTTTCAGGAGTAAATCGACACTTTTGGTAAGAAACGTTGAAGACATCAATACTAACTTAATATAGTAAGATAGCCAGTATTGAAATATTACCTTATAAACAGGATTATCTAGTTTCGACAATCGTGTCTGTCTATCTTACCACTTTGATTAAGCATTATCATGGCAGTCAAGAAAAATGTGTAGGCGGTAGAACTTTAAAGCATCTTAAAAGCTTCTGGTTTGGAATAACTTGTTTTGGCCATGGCCAGGATTATCTAATTCCAATGACAATTGCGCCTGTCTCTTTTAACAATCGGATTAAGTATTACAACTATGGCCTGGAAAAATGTTATGCAAGCGGTAGAATTTTAACACATCATTGAAACTTCTGGTTCTTTGTTTGTACAGATCCAATTAGACTAAAGATAGACTCACACTTTTTGCATTATCGATTTCTGGGTCAAAGTAATCTTCACATTTAGTTATTTATTTTTTTATTAAAAAGTCAAATTGTTTTCGAATACGTTATAACTTACGTATTATATTTATATAATAAAATATTATTGCATTATACTTAGAATAATTTTTTTGCAGATGACTTGGCTGTTACGGCTTTACTAAATCGCACCAATGGTGTTCAACACCATAGTTGCTATATCTCAAAAATGTACTAACTAACTCATGTCAGGAATACTAAGCAAAATGTTCAGCGCCCTAAAAAACCTCACCTATAATTAAAATTTAGACTTACATCTTTTATATAGTTCCGGTTCCCTAACCTATCTAAACGATTAAAACATATAAATTTTAAATAAATGTTTAACGCACTTTAAAAAAAAAAATCCAATAAATTCTTAAAACTAGATAATGCTTCAAGACCTATGTGTGTGACTGTGTGTACAGTCAGCCCTCTATATAATCACACAGTTGGGATGATAGTAATTTTTTTAAAAAATGTGCTTATATAGAGATTGTTTTTATATAGAGGTTTTTCTATATATTTATAGCAATTTGTTTACAAAATTAGATGCTTATATGGAGGTGTAATTATATAGGGTGTGACTATAGAGAGGTCTGACTGTATTTGGTATTTATTTAAATTATAGTATACCATCAATCATGGATAGTAGCTTTAAGTTGAATAAGTCGCTTCATAATAAAATCTCACAAAGATTATAATTCAGCAAATATTTTTATAATAGTACTAATTACAATTTGTAGCTAAGTCATTAATCGTCAATTAAGATTAATTTGTTATATATCAAGCCAATAAATTGTGTGCGCGGTGGTCAGAGACGAAATAAATGTAAAGTTAAAATTTTAACAAAATAAGAGCTATCGTTGTTGTAATTACCTTTTTTGTATTTTAGCTATTATAAAGAAAATGGAAGACAGAAGAAAAGTGATAAAAGTTAAATTAATTGAATGACAAAAAAGGGAAATGATACAAATTAAAATTAATACGGACAAATTGAATTTATCAAAGACAAAAAAGGAAAATTGACAATTATACGTACCGTACAATATATCTATTTTCGGTTATAGTACAAGATAATTGCGCAATATGCAAATTAAATCATGTAAATTGATGTATGATAACTTATTACATATGAAATTTTCTTCCTATAGAAATAACAGCTATATATTTAACAGGTTGTTTTTTGCCTATTTTATACTCACTAGGCACAATTCGACCAAATATATTATGAATTGGTATGATGCAATCTCTACTAATATTGTAAAAGTCTTGATCCCAGATTTTCACATTGCTTTGAATATTATCAATCTGAAAATAAAACCTTGTTTTGTAATTTGGAGCTGCCCTAAACTATCTTACATAAGCCAACTGATGTGTATCTTCTTTTTCTGGTATATTGACTTTGTGTTCGAAAAAATACTGGACCTGGCCTGGAAATACATCTATGGAACCATTATCTTGCATAAACTTCGCAAGAATAAACGAACTCTTTAAATATCGAGGTGTATCAGCTGACCCAAATATTTCAGCTCCAATTCGAATACGTTTGAACAGATTCACCTGAGGCCGGATAACAATTCTTCGTTCAAAACTTCTTGCCTTTTCTCCAGTAAACTCCTCAATTGACAAAAATTCCATGTCATATGCATTATTATAATAAGCTATCAGTACATTATATACATAATCTGGCAAGCAAAAATTCGCTTTTTTAAGGGACAGCATTTTGCAGGAAAAGGTTCAATACCAGTAATTGTATCTTCAATTTCAAGCTGATAAATTTGCCTAAAAAGGCAAAGTTCATCAAATTTACAATTGTCATAAATTGCTAAGCTTCCCACAGTTGCTTTTGGCCATATTAAACTTAAACCTTTGATAAGGTTCAAGTTATTTGATTGAGTGGATATAAGATCATCAAGTCGCCAATTTTGCATAATGATTTGTAATAGCTCCTGTTCTATTTGACGATGACTATTCGGGAAGGAACCTAGAAAGAACAATAAATTATTACTACAAATTTCTCTAAGTGCATTCCAGAATCATAGTAAAAAAAATATGCATGTGTAAAATTAATTGCTTCTAAAAAATTTGTATTTGATTTTTTTAGTGCATGTATCATTTTTAAAATTTATATGAGAAATAATTAATTTAATATATTTTATAAAGAGTATACGTACTATAGAGCATGATAATTTGATTTTGCCAACTAACCATATAGGTTTGTAATAAGTGCAAAATTTTACATAAAACACTTACCCAAAATTCCATTCATTCTTTCGAATGAATAGCACCAGAAGGAGTATAATAGGCTATAGTCTTGACAACATTCAACTATGTGAAGTGATAGGTGAATATTTGGAGTAATTACCTCTGGGCCATAATTCTTTTCAATCAATTTGGCAACTTGTAATAATTGGAACTGTGCTTTGTCCAATATATTACTATCAATAACCTATGCTATTAGCAAAAAGCAAGCATCTACAAAATTTGCTAAAATTTTTTTGTCTTGAGTGTCTAAGAGATTCCATATCAATGAAATCGAATATATCATAATAAACGATTTCCATTGATCAGCAGTAAACATGGAAAATCTGTCACCAGTAGCTATTCTAAATGGGATTCTTCCAATATCAGTTGATACATCAATATTTTTTGCTCTTCGTTCCATTAATTCCAGATTAGATTTCGAGATTTTGTCACTGTTGATTCATAATTTCTTCACGATCCAATGTGCAATGCCCAAAAACAAGCAGTGCATCAGATTGACAATTAAATGCATTATGGAATTATGGTAAGGTAGGCGAAGCATTTCAGACCATCAAACATAAGTTCGACTAAGATGCTCCTTTCTATCATTTTTAGTTAGTTGTTTTTTCCAAATTAAAGCATTTCGACAGTATTCTATTGGATCTCTTGCCCTAAACCAACTGTCTATATTATCGAAGCCACCAAAATTTAGGCGTTGACCTTTTCCGCTGCTTGCCTTTTTATAACATCTACAATATTTAATATAAAAAAAAAAAAACAATATAGTAAATAAAAAGAATAAAAAATAATAAATAAAGAAAAACAAAAAAAAAATAAAAATAAAAAGAGAATTTCTATTTTCGCCCAGGTTAAAATTACTCGAAAAACCATAATATCATTTTTATAACTAGAATTATTAGCATTAGTAATATTTGGTTTACTTTAACTCGACGAAAATAGGATTTTTCAACAAAGAAAAAAAAAATTAAAAAACCTGTGACATCCAACTAATGCTGATATATGGCCGCATAACTTTCTTGCAGCTGGAATATCATTACTACAACATATTACCGCCATTCTAATATTTCTACCAGAAGAATATTTATAAGTTGTTGATAAATTCATACTATTCCAAAATTCAAGTAAATTATCTATAATGGGGTAAAATAATGATTAATTCTATGTGACTTGACTTCTTTTGGTTCTGAGATAAGGGCAAGAATTAACATATTCTCTTTCTTAAATCGAATATTGCGCGGTAAATTGCAAATTATCCTGTATATTGCCCACAACTATAAGATGCAGATTTAAATGGTTGAAACCAGTCTATATTGATCATTATTCCTAGATGTGAGTCAGCAGTTTCAGATATAAAAAATAACCATTCTGAATTATTAATATCTGATGGAAATGTTTTCCAAACATTGCTGTCGTATATATCAGATATTAAATTAGTTTCATTTCTGCGATTAGCCCATTTATACAAAAGTTCTTCAAATCCCGGTTTTTTGTACATTGTAGATATTTGCATTTTCAAGCATGGTAATTGATATACTATTTTGGGATGCCAAATATATTTATTACTTACGGGAACCTTAACTAATACTTCGGATCCACAAGGTTGGCGTTGAGTTTGCAGTGGATGACTAGGAAATTCAATATAAGTACATTTAAATCCTGAATTACTAGTACTAATATTATAAAGTTTGTTACAATCAGGACAAGCTGCAAAAATTTTATTAATTTTATTGTTTTTTCTGATTTCTAGTAACTTATTGGTCATATAAATTGTTGAAGAAAAATTTTCAAATTGTCTTATATCAGCATCTATTAAAACTAATTTACAAATTTTTAAAAGAGATTCGATCATGACATCTGAAAGCCAGAACCTTTCTTGATATTTAAATATCAAAAGTAAAATCCAAAAATTGTTTGTACTTCTGTGTATAAGAAGATTCTTAAAATTTAAATTGTCATTAAGATTTACAGAGTTAGAAGTCATGAATGCCTTGGTCTGTATATCTTTATTATTATGAAACGGGCTATAATCCTCAAAATTACTATTATCCAAAGTTAATTCGTTATCAAACCGTTGAGGATCTTTCTGCTTATTAGATAAATTATTCAATGAGTAAGTTTGCTGTTCATGCTCTAAGTCCGGAATTATTATATTATTAGTTTTGTAAAACTGATCGTATCTTCTTTTTTTATTAACAAAAGATAAATTGTTGATGGAAGACTCTTTATTATTATCATCATCTATTGTTATAGTACTGTCTTGAACATTACTTTCAAGTGAAATAGACTTTCCTTTTACTAAATCTTGGTGCCGCATTTCTATTAATTCGTGAGATTTTCTAGTTCTGATTTCTACTATCTTACCATTACATAGTTGGCAATTGCATGGTATTTTAGATCGAACATTTGTATATAATTTTTTATTTACTTGTTGTTTTCTTGATTGATTAAATATTTTTTTTAAAGCACTATATAGAGATTAGAAAAATAATAGTGATCGAATGGGCTTTATTAATATAAAATAGTTTGGAGGATTAGTTAGGTATATATATTTATTATTTTTATTTAATCTTTAGATTAGATAATTTTGCAAATGTAATACATCGATCTAAGCACAATCTGGCATGACAGATATTTTAAAACTCACGTAAACATATTTACAATTACCGAATTAGTGAAATAGCAGTTACATAGAGTTACATAAGTTTATTCAACAAAAAAAGAGACAAAATCCAAAATAAATATTTAAATTGAGAGGCATTTGGGATGACTTCCAAAAACCCAAATCACATGATTGTTTCATCAATGAGAAGGTTATATAGTATTTTTTTTATTAATCTATATTATAGCTTATTTACATATTGTACATATATATGTAGCTATATCCATCAAGTGTGGGCTATAATTTATAATCAGTTTTATAATCGTTATTGCAAGTAACATTCTTGTTTATAATTATAATTTTGTGTATTTGTACTGTTTAATTGAATATTATCGTATTTTTGTTTTTTTTTTAAGAGGTTTTTTGTTTTTTTTTCAGTAGATCAATAGTAGATCGATTTACAACTATATTTCGCATTCTTCGTCCATTTGTTGTATGTTTTTTAGATTTTTCAATGTCTTGCTTATATAATGTAAATAGCCGATTTTTTCCAATTTCATAACATTCGAAAAGTTTTTAAAATCTACTAGCAGTATTTTGAGTAGTGTCTTAAAATAAATCGTCTTGAGATGGATTAGGACTATTAAACGCTTTATAAATAAGTTCGCAAGTTTTCAAAGTACATCTTTTCTGGAGTTAATATTTCTTTCAGTTGGTAAAATAAAATTATCACCAAGATATTCATGTAATAGCAAATTTAAATAATCCATTTCAGCTTGAGTTGCTATAATTCTTTCTTTCAAGTCATCACTATTTCCAAAAACTTTTCCTATAACTTGTTTAACAAATTTTACACCGAATCGTTCTAAAGCTTCATCATTTGCAAGAAAATGACCAGGTTGAGTTAAGTTAACTGATGATGCATATTTTAGCAAGGTTTGTAATAATGGATTATTTTGTATATAAGAAAGATAATAAGTTACTGATTCTGCATAAATTGAACATCCAGCAATTGGAAATAATGGTGCAAATGCAATAAGGTTTTCAAGTTATATTTCAAAATTTCCATTACATATTCCTAAACGATGACCTAACCAAATAATGTCCATTTATAAAATAGATACCAAACATGAAGCACATTATTTTTGGGTAAAAGTTCTATAATATCTTTGTTTCGATCTTTAGCATACTTGTGTAAAGCAATACCAACACTTGTCCATAATAATTCTAAAACTCTAGATGCCGCTTGGTAGTTAACTACCTGTTCAAATTTATCGAAATAACAAACACCAAGAATACTAGCAAGCTTGAAAATTCCATATCCTGAAAAAATTGCTACAAGAGTAGAACACATTGCTTTATTAGTGTGTCATCCCCAAGTAAAAAACGAAATTGTGGATGATTTTCGCGAAGTGAATATAATCGTGTATAAATTGCTGCATCAGCTACAACATCTAAATTTCCAAGTTCATCGCATCCTACATCATTTTTATACATTAAAACCAATTCATGTACACTTTGATTTGAGTTTGGTTGATCACCCAATTGAAGAATTACTACATTCGGCTTGGGTAATTGATGGTTAATTTGAATATTTTTTTAATTTCTTTATGTATATCAGTAAAATCAAAATCTTCATTTTTAATTTCTAATAAATTATTAAAATTTCTTTAAATTCTAGTAATTGATTTTCTACAAATGAAGAAATGCCGACTTCAAATTTATTAAATCTATTATTATTAGCGGCCTCTATTTTAAGTTCTTGTAATGTTTTAGATAAAAAGAATTGAAAGACCATTCTCAACATTGCATGTGATGTTTTTCGTATTACATTATATATATTGTCAAAACTAAACCCACTTTCTTTAAAATCTATATTATCTACTATACAAACGTTCCAAATATTATTTCCTATTTGTAATTTTGTTTGTAGATCATATAAATTTCATCTAATTTTTTCTAACCGTTTTTCATAGCATGCTGTATAGGAAACAATATTTGCCTCACACAAAATAGCATATAATGAGGATCTTAAGTTAGGCTTTTGTGCAAGTGAGCTTAAAATATAGATAAACCAAATATTCATACTTGGATAAGAAATAGTAAGAAGAACTGAAATAAAGAATGTTGAAATTTTGATAGCATCATTAGGGTTAAAATCTTCAGTTGTTTGGTATCGTCGTTTTTTTTTTTTTTGTACTACTGCCTATTTTTTTTGCTGTATATAAATTAATAAACTGTCAATAAAATTTTTAAGAAAATCAGGAAATCCATTACGATATAATTCTAAAGATTGTGGATTTTCTAAATTTATTTTATTTTCACGAATTTCTGAACGAGCCTTCCAAATTGCACATCCTAAAGCCTCTCCAAGTTTTTTTGGTTGTTCTCGAATAATTTTTATATAATTTTCTGTTTCAAAAAGACTTGATAACTGAATTTTTTTTAATTGCATAGCAATTTTTGTTGCCATATAACTTGGAGGATTAAATTTTAATGCTTGTGCATTAGGCTGATTTACTGAACTAGATAATTCACTTTTTATAAGTTTTTTTTTAAGTAAAATTGGTTATACATTTCAAAAAGCTCCTCTGCAAGAATATCTTTTGAAAGTTTATCAGAAGATGTAGCAATATTTAAAATCCAGTTTCCCAAAAGCTTAAGAGTTTTAGAACTATCATCAACATGTAAATTCTTACAAGTAAATGGTTCTGCTCCTCTGCCTTGTCTTTGAAAAAAATGACTGCCTTCTAAATTGAAATATACAGAACAAATATAGTGAGATGATTTTTCATTTATTGATTGTGTAATATGTTTACTCCAACTAATAACTAGACAAACTTTTATACTTTGACATGGAATTTGTACATTCTTATTTAAAACATTCCAACAATAATAAGTACATTTTTCACCTCATCTAAAAAAAAATTTGTCTTTATGACAAAAAAGACAACGACGTTTATGAATCCAGCTTTTTTGAATAGACACAAGAGCTTTTGAACCACGTGGATGTAAATCATCCTGGTCAAAATTAAAATGGTTACTACAAACTCCTAATAAATTTAAAATATCCTCAATATTGTTTTTAAGCATTTCTTCAACAGTTTCATAATCTAATTCTCACATTTTCATCATTTGTTTAATTGGTCTATAAGTTTCATTTAAACAACGCTTTAGTTTACCATCTTTTATTTCTGAAATCACACATTGTTTAATATTGCTATTACTATTGTTAGACCGCTTATAATCCTTAATTTCATAATCTGTTTCATTTTCTTTGGTTAATAATGAAAAACTACAAGATGATTCTGTATCTGTTGATTTATCTAAATCACTAGATAACCAATCAATATCCCTATATATTTCATCATTATTGGATAATGTTCTAAAATAATTTAATGCTAATTCATATATTTCTTTATTACTAAATGTATCTGAATATAAATAGTCATTTTCACTACTATCTGTATGAGGTGTTCCGGGTATTTCACAAGAGTGATCTGTAAAACTGCAACCACTTTCATTATCAAGTAATTTATATTCTTGATCTGGATCTAAATATGTACTATCTAATACATTAATATAATTGATTGTATCAGTATCAATATCATAAAGATCTTGACTAGAAGTAGCCATCTTCTGTTAGAGCTGATTTGTAAAAAAAAATGCAAGACTAAAATGCTTGTAATATTTTGTTTCTATAAGAATACATATAAATTAGTATAATATAATAATTAATTTGTTAAAAAAAATATTATTAACAAAAATTTATAGTTTTTTTTTAAAATGCGTAGTAAATATTTAATTTTTTGCGGCTTACGATGAACTAACTTCTAGTGTATTTTTAGATATATAACTTTTATAATTATAAAGTACAACTTTAAAGCTTACCACTTATTTAGTTAAATATAATATTGTTACTTTGAAAATAACAATCTTATAATTGTTACAATATTTTATCGTGAGATTTTATATAAACGTTTATAAGATTTTCTTATATAAATGCAATAGCCACAAATTTTGGGGGACAATAGATTTGCTGATTATTAACATAGAAATGACATTTCATCTGACCGGTACTGCTTAAAAATTCAAAATTGGTAGGTATAACGGAAATAAATTGACAAAATTGGCTAAATTTGCCAAATTTGCTATATAAAATATAACTTTATATGTATCAATTATTCAGGTTGCTTTTCTACGTGATATTACGAAAATAATAACCACTTAAATAAATCAATAATTATTTAATTTTTGACATCAGCATGCAATAAATTGATAGTAAATTGATAATTAAAGAGGGACAAATAATAATAAAAACAAATAAGAGTAATAAGGGTATCAAGACAAAAAAACTTGAGAGTTGACTAGCTAATAATTGTACCAACAATGAAAAAAAATCACCATCAGAATTTTAATAATCATTGATTGTATAAGTTAATACACTGTGAATAATTTTTATACTCATGTCTGTCATATAAGCTTACAATGCTTTATTATTAATGATCTAAAATTTACTACATTTGATCTATTATGAGTCAATGGCATAGCAATTATTTCTTAAAGCTAGCTCTAAAACAGAGCATCGAGAAATAATAATCAATAATAATAATGTTAACGAACGAATTACATATATATGGTATTTAAAGTTTTAACAACAAAATGTTAAAGAGACAAATCTTACCAGCTTAACAATAAAATTTATTTAAATATATATTTAAATAAAAACCTTAGATTTATTTTACATGAATAATATTAATACATGGATAAGTACTTCTAAAAGAAAACAAGAATTCAGACTTTAAATTTTCTAAGCTGAGTTGATTTAATTATAAGTTCAAAAGTCTGAAATTTAGTTTTCTCTTAACAGTACTCTAATACAAACAAAAAATCAATCGCTTTGTTTATTGTTTTTGTAAATTTTATACCATGCTTAATAGCCGCGCGTAAAATATCTTCATTTACCAACATGGTTCAGTCTTTCCAAAGTCTTAGATTATTTTATTTTCACTGAGAATTTTGACTCTGAGGTTTCGCCTTTCGTCAAGGATTTCTCTTTTCATCAGGGTTTCACCATTTCGCCAGGGGTTTCATCTTTTGCCATTGGTTATTCCTAATAATCGTAGTCATATTGCAATTAATTGTCGGACATATCTATTAATTATTTATATAAGTTGTCTTTTAATTTCAAACTGGTAAACCTAGAGTAAGAATATGATCTCCTAAAACATAGCCCGTCGTAGCTTCGGTCGAACCAGAATTCAAACACCTTAAAATTTATAAATAAAGCTTTAGAACTTTAATCAGAATATGTCTATTAAATTAATTTCATCATTGTAAATTTCATGATTAGTAAACATATTTTATAGTAAATTTCATAAGTCTATATACTTACATTATAACTATAAAATTATTGTTAAAAAAAGCTTATTCATACGACAATGCACTTTATTACAACAAAGCATATGTATTTCTGATATCTTTTTTGAATCAAATCTTATAAAAACCAGAGAAAAAATCATTTGTATTTCTTTAGCATACTTTTATATATACATTTACTCAAATTATGCATCACTCTAAGAACTCTTATCATCTGGAACGTGGACTCAGGAGAAGTCTTGATCAAGAAATGATCGAAGGAGTCGGTCAAGAAGTTACGATCGAAGGAGTAGATCAAGAAGTTATGATCGAAGAAGTCAGTCAAGAAGTCAGTCAAGAAGGTATGATCGAAGGAGTAGAGATAGTAGTTCTAGAAGTTATGATTGAAGAAGTAGAGATAGGCATTCAAGAAGTCATGATCGAAGAAATCAGTCAAGAAGTTATGATCGAAGTAGAGATAATAGAAATAGTCGAAAAAGTAGTCGTGACAGAAGAGAACGATCAAGAATTTATGATAGTGAAAGCAGTGATAAATGGTCCAAACCAAATAAATACAGCATTTATAATCATTATAGCAAAAATAAAAAGTGTGCTAATTATAAATAACAAGTTATAATTATCGTTAATTTATATTATATGCCAAGTACTGTACTTATAATATTAATATAGGTTTCAGTTATCTGGTTCCGAAGAATCGCACTCAAGATCTTATGACGAGATGGATGAAAAAGGAAAGCAAGTTAAAAAAGGCAAATTTAATTTTATAAATTTGGCGTGCAAACATATTAATTCTTGTACTTACGTATTATAATATGCGTGGTTAATATATATATATATTTAGATCAAGTTTTTTCATTAATACAAGATAAAGACATTCAAAAGCTATTTCAGGAATTTATTAAACAGAACCTGGAATTAGATAATACAAGCCCATTTATAGATGATAAAGACCAAAGCCAGGATTTATTAAGTCAAAATCATTCAAGAGTTCAAGGTCAATCAAGCCAAAGTCGATCAAAAACCAAACAGCCCAGTCAAAATTATTCAAGATCACTAAAACAATCGAACCAAAGTTATTCGCAAGTTCAAGATCGATATGGGCAAAATAATTTAGAAGTTCAAGATCAAAGTTTTCAGGATATCAGACTTAAATATTTACACGTTACTGATCTCCCAAATGATCTTAAATCTGCATTAAGAGTAGATAATTTTTTTATTTCTGTTTCATAAATATTAATATACCATATAGTATTGCATACAGTACCCCTAAAAATTTACTCCCCTTACTGTTACATAGCATTCGTTAGTACTATGTATGTAGTAATATACGGTAGATATACTGTATATATATTATTAAATAATATTTTTTTTTTATATTTAGCGTCAAATTAGTTGGATACTTAGAAGGATGCCACCCCAAAGTCAACTGAAATTAGATCAGACATTTCAGTCTCAAGAAAAGTTAGTGAATGATACAGTAATCCCAACCATCAAAAAAGTGTTAGATTCATCAATATTTTCAGTTTCCGAGGAAATTATATATAATATTATTTATATTCGTCACAAACACAAATGTGAAGTTTATAACATGAAACAATGACCAAAAGAAGATCAAGATAAAGATACAAGACGAAGATATAAAAATTACCGAAGGAGTAGGGTAAGTTTTATTTAGTGTTTTATAAAATATTTAGAGTACTGCTGTGGCAAAATCTGCACAGAATTTGTGCTAATTTAATGATAATTGCAGTAGAATTTTTCAGTCAGAGCAGTGGTACCGTACCCTAGACACTTTAGTGTCTTTGTTTTAGAATTGTTACTAATTTCATTACATTTCAATTATATATAGAAACGACAAAATAGAGCTAATACAATCCAACATCTAGTTGCAATTAGAGATCCAGTAATTATGTTTTTTAAAGATCAAGATCTTTTGCCAATTACAAATAACAACTTATACCATTCATCTGAGAATTCCGAAACTGATGAGGAAAATCCTTCTGAAAAAACGAAAGATTATTGTAAAGGATTTGAAATGGTGCTCTGATACTGTAAGATTAACATTGAAAGCCGTATTATTATTATTATTATTTATAATTTACTCTAGTGAGATGCCATATGGCATTAGTTAAGTTGCATTATTAAATTATATTACTCATTCTAATTTTTTTGTAGTTACGATCATTTTTATTTGATTACATTGACGTAATATTTGCTGAATCATCAAACTACCAAAGAAACGAGCTCGAACTTATGATACTGATTATTATGAAAAAGAACAATCAAAACCATTCCAAGCACCAGATTGGACGATTAATGGATATAGAGGATCATTGAGAACAGCTATACAAAATGCTTGCTGTGAGCAGTCATCAACTATGCTTTTTTAAACAAATTCCCAAGAAAATACACAAAGGCCTTCACAAATTTCAGATTGCGAAGATACTAATGCCGATTATTAGCTAGAGGTCTATAATTTGGCTTACCTTTTTTGCAATAGTACTCAACTTGCTATTAACAAAAAATACAAGAAAGGAAATCTTCATTTATAATTGTATATGCACATGCATGTTTGTATACATACACAATTCTGCAATTGCGCAAAAATAATAAATAACTAGTGTATATTGCATTGCTTGCGCAATGCACTTGGGTATTACAATAAGTGTTAATACGACAATTTTTCATATAACACTAATTTGGAGATCGGTTTTCTCACGCATAACTACTGATTTTTCATTTTTAGCCTTTTAAAGCTTGTTTTTGTAATTGCTGCTGCATTGTCTCGTTAGATGCAGGTTTTTTCTGTTAGGATTATGATCGCATATGACTGTTAAGTGACAATTCTTGAATGCGTGCCAGGTTTATGACACAGTCAAAATTCTTTAAAGTTCTTTTAAGCTAAGTTTGGAGCTTTTATTGTAGTTAGATGTTATAAGAGCATATAGTAAAATTACTAAAGGAAACCCTTTTTGTTAGTGTGTGAAGAGTAGTTTTATATGCAATTTTAAGAAATAAGCAATTTTTGACAAAACAGCAGTTGCTTTTGAATTTTCATGTTTGTGTTATATTGTACTTGATCTTGAAATCTGATTCGAAGTCCAGGCAATCTGCGCCACAAACCTGGCACACGTTCAAAGAATTGCATAGTGTTAGCTAATTACATAGTAATAGTCCTTATACAGGTGTGACTGTGTTAGAAGTATTTGGTTGGTTGGTTGTTGCAAACGTTTGTGTTTTAATTATATAGATTTTGCACAAACTTAAAATTAATATGTACTTCGGATATTTGTACTATTTTTACTGTACTATATATAATAATTGATCGTCAAAGGTGTGTGGAAAAATATGTATAAAATAAGCAAAAAAAACCTGTTAGAAATATAGTTGTTATTCCTATAGAAAGAAATTTTTCATATATTAAAAATAGAGTAAAATGAGTGTATTGCTTATTTGAGAAAGAAATTGTGTTAGTACTCAAAATCTATTATTTGAATAGACAGCATAATCATGATCGTTACATCTACTATTGCATGTTATACATGCAATAATAATTTTATTTTTTAAGACTTGCTAAATAAAATAATATTATTGTTTTTAATTAGAACGCAAATTCGAATGTAAGGCATGTACAGTATAAATTAATTACACTTTTAAAGTGAAACTTATTTTTATTAATTTATTGTTATACTGTATTTATTCACATAAATTATTTAAAATTATATAATTTACTAGTCGCAATCCTAACAAATTACAGAATTAGCAAGTCCGATAATTAATAAATTTGAATCCTCAATAAAAGAGGTTTTCTTCATGTAATTTTAAATTGTTTTGGTAATGATATTAAAAGGCTTAAAATATCGTACTCTCTTTTATTATATGGGACTTATATAACAACCCGTGCTTTTTTTGAAAGCTTATTCATATGGGTATATTTGAAAATCATGTGATTTTCATATAAACCCGTATGAATTAAGTTATTTTTTTAAAAAGCTAAAACACAATTCGTTTTTACTAAAAACTATGTAACTCTAAATGATTATTTTAAATTTCTTATCTTTGGGCGAAGACTAATATATATATAAAATTATCAATTTTGGATAAAGACTAAAGATAATATTTAATCAAGTAGCTCTTATTTGCTGGGTAGGAAATAATATTAATTCAAATATGAAACTATTAACTTTTAAAGAAATGTTTATTTACAATATCTTCACTTTTATTTATAGTTTCGAAGTGTTTCAGTATTTACAAAAAAACAAGTGATTTCTTAACTGTAGATTTTCTAATTGTTGACTGTAAGACTGTTGTTGACTATAAAGTTTTTAGTTAATATTCGCTAATGAAAAACTAAGCTCAAATATATCAGATTTTTCACAAACAAAAAAAATAAATATGATCTAATCTTTTACTTTTAAAAGACTTCAATATATTAAAAAGTACTTAAGGATACAAGAATATTTTATCTCTAAAATTTAAATTTGCAAATTAAAAATTAGTTAAATTTAAAAAATATATTATATATAAATTAATATTGATATTATTTAATAATCTGATAGTAGTTTATTCTTTAATTATAATAATCTGATTGTAGTTTATTCTTTAATTATAATAATCTGATTGTAGTTTATTCTTTAATTATAATAATTTGATTGTAGTTTATTTTTTAATTATTATTATTTTGGTTATTATAATTTTATACAATCAGTAATTAAAAAATTTTAAATCAGTATATTATCAGTAATATATAAATTAATAAATATTTAAGAATCAGTAAAATTATTAGATAATAAAAATTATTTAATTAGCAATTTACTGATTGTAAAATATTTGTTAATTTAAATTAAATATTATAAATTAATAACAACCAGTATTTTGAATTAATAAATTAATTCAAATAAGGTTAACCAATTTTAAACTGATATTATACCGAATACAGCCAAAAAATCATCTAAAATCAGTAAGAAATAATATTATTTAATAATCTGTAATCAGTATTTAATCAGTTTATAATCAGAATATCGATTTAAAAATTTATCTACAATCAGTAAATTTACTGATTTACTATTTTTTGACCTGTGTTAATCATAGCCACTTTTAATATCAAAAGTTTAAATAACAAAAATAAGCAAATATATATATATCCTGCTAAAAACTTATAAAATTAATTTAATTATAATACAAAAAAAACAAATTTAAAAAAAAATAGGGATAAGAGAATTTGTAAAATAACAGTAGACTTTTGATTCAATATAAGCTAAAAATAGTAAAATTAAATTTAAAAATAGTAGTAAATCATTTAATGAAAGAGTAATTAATACTTGCTTTATTTATAAACAAAAAGCTTTTTAAGTTATTAATATCTATGCATTACTAAATATAGAGTAGAGAAGGTTCTTTTATAATAACTGGTTTTAAGATATATATAAAAATTTTTTATTATACAAACAAGTTGGCATTGTTTATCTCTCAAATCGAAATGTGACAACAAACATGTGTATCACATGCCTCAAATGCAATGGATATCTGTACAAATGATGCTCCGAAACTCTATTCTGACCTCTCTACCTTTAGCTAGTTGATAAAGTATTTTCTATCAGGTTTTTACTTTCGCATACTAGTTTAGAGAAAAATAGAAGTAGAGACTAATTTGTTTAATCAGTATATAATTTTTCAAAGCTTATAACTGTAGCATTAAGATTAGTAAATTTTTTTGTTTTGTTTTTATTTTTTCTTCGATATTTTTTTACCTCCTTTTTTTCGTATTTTGTATTCTTTTACTATAGTCTCCTATACCTCTGTGTTTTTTTAGTAAGTTTGTTTTATTTTCTAATTTTGCTTCTTGATGAGCGGGTAGCCACCAGCCAATGAACAATGGAAAAAAAGTCCTTAGTAAGTTAAGGACTCTGAGAGAGGCCAAGAGCTACTAAGGCAGGTCACGCCTAGTGTATAAAATTACGTAGCCAAGTTCTTCGTTTGGTTGGATCTATTTTAGTTAGAGATATATTACTTGTAATTGTGAATAACTTGATCCCAAATAAAAAAGGGCAGAATAGCTGAATTAGAAAAAAAATAATATACATAGATATAAGAGGTTTTTTGGTATTAAGATAACTTTTTGATTGCTTTCATTTTATTCAATTATTGTTAACTTTTACAGTATGGTATATTATACTGTATATATATTTGGAGAGTACAACTAGCCACATGTATAACTTTTAGTTGCCTATTGAAGTAGTTCACTTATTACTAAGTTCTATATTAGATATCATATCTATAATCTGACTAGAAGATTATTTATTTAAATACTCTGCAGCTATATATATTTAATTTTATAACTAAGCAAGAAAACTTAGTACTCTCTTATTTTTGAATATCTGACTTAAGACTTTAAGAAGGTTTATAAGAACCCTTTATCTTCGAACTAAACCTGCTAAAACCTTCTATACTCACAGTCCAGTTGACCTAGTCTTCAGTTAATAAACATAGGCCAAGGCTTACCATTTATACTTCAGTTTTTATAATGAAAGTATTTTTTTGTTGTTTTGTTCTTACCAGTTTTTTAATAATATTTTAACTATACTATAGCCTGATTATTATTTTACAACCTACTTCTGCCTTTGTAAAGTTTACTCAAACTCTAGTACTTTCCTTCAAGACAACCCAGTAGCTTTTTTTCAGTACCTTCTAGCTAGTCTCTTTAGACTACCAATTCAGATAGCCTGGAAGGAATACCAGTCCTTTGATATCTGTATTGCAAATCCTTTTTCCTTTAGCATTCTGGCAGCCTGGTTGATAGAGTATCTTCTCTTTAAATACCTAGCCTTCATCTAGTTGTACAGCTTTAAATAAAACCTATTTCAGTAGTATTGTTAAAAGTTTGAACTACTTCTCTATTCAAAACTTGCCAAATGAGCATCCCACCATTATATTAGCTCTGTTAGCTTTCTGTGACCCCTAAGAACTTATCTTAGATTTGCACTAACTAAATCAGCTTGCATGCCTTTATATAACTTCTTTATTATAAAATACCCAGAAATCTTCTAATTCTGATATAACTATTACTTGATATAACTGCAGTTACAAGACCTCAAGTTTTCTTAGCCACAATAATAGTTGTCAAATCTGTTTTTTCTAAATTCAATTTTCACTTTCTGTAAAAATTGAATTTGTACTTAACTGCTTAGAGTGCGACAACTTCACCACTTCATTAAGTCATCACACTCTTAGATATAAGATTCTAATAGATCTTAATTTCAGTTTTATAAAGTTTTTTAGAGTTTTAACCATTTTTACTTAATACTCTAAGATGTGTTAGCTAGTATGTTTTTGAGATATTATATAAAGGTGTTATATAACAAAGTATTATAAATATAACTTAGCTTTTTTATTTAATTATAGTTTAAATGCAACTTATATTTGAAGAGTATGACTAGTTATATATACAACTTTTGATTGTTTA